AATATGATAAACTTTCTAATAAATCATCGTGTTGTGTAATTGTTAAACTCTTTAACACTTATATTTGGTACATGAATTATGAATTGAAGTAAAAATATTGGTTAATTTTCATAAGCAGTGCTACCAATTAAGCATTGTTGGGAACAAATATATTATAATATTATGATATTTTTTCTGCATGTAGAAAATAAACAAAACTACATTTAATAAATGTATGAGCGTTCCTTTTTTGGAGGAAAAAAACAAATTCTTTAAGGAAAAAAAAAATAAAATAAAAAACTTAACTGAAAGAAAGAAAACTTTGTTATTTTATTTTTTTTTCTATTTAATTTGTACCCCATGAGCACGCCAACATCTGGAAATGATTTGACTACAGACACGTCTCATTCAAAGACAACATTAAAACCTCAACCTGTTACTTCACGATCATCCACAAATTCATCAACAGAAACTCTTGAAAATATATCTTTAGAAGGAGACGAGACTGATCAAACAACATTAATAACTACAACTAATGGAATACTAATAGAACCTTCAAAGATTGCTAAAGTAGGAGTTAAAAAGTCCAGGTCATTGTTAGGACGGTCAATTACATTTTTAAATCGTAATGAAGAAAAACAGTCAAAATTAGTAAAAGTACACCGATACACAATTTATGATAGTGAAAAAGAAGAATTTATTGAAATAGTAGAAGAAGAATGGGATGGTGATAGACCACCACCACGACAATCTGTAACTTCACAAAATAAAAGTACAATTCTTGTTGATAAAGATTTACCAAGCTTGCCGGAACCAATTACCAAGAAAAAAGAAGGCAATAATTTTAAAAAATTTTACGAATGGGCAGAAAATGAGTGGTATCAACATAAAAAAAGAATATTAATATCTTTAGGAGTGATTTTATTGTTACTTTTTATTATTATCCTTGCCGCAGCTGGTGTTTTTTCAAAATCGAACAATGTTGAGAGTAGTAACAATAGTTTGTTAAGTGGCACGGGGGAAGGAGCTTATTATAGTAAGTATTTCTTTTAACTTTTAATTCAACTTTACTATAAAAGATTTTTCGGGTTAACATAAGCATCTCAATTTAAAAGATCTAAATGGCGGAGTTGGCGCCTGTGGAAAACAAAACACTAATAATGATTTAGTCGGCGGTTTAGTAAGTTTTTTTTTTACATATTTTTATAGTGTTTCGCATGATATCGATATATATCATTTTGCTCAAAATATTATATTTTAGAATGCCGCTCAGTATAATTCGACTATTTGTGGCAAATGTTTGAAGATTACTGGACCAAAAGGAACAGTAGATATTACAATAGTAGACAAGGTTAATATCATTTAAATATATTTCTGGTCAAAGAAGTGTACATATCGATATGTAACAGTCTTATAAACAAAAATATTTTCATTATATTTAGTGTCCTACTAATACTACTGGAAATATTTGTCTTTCGATGACGGCCTTTAAAGTAAGTTGTTGCATTTTTTTTTGTTAACATTATATTATCTTTTTACCATTAAAAGTTAATTAATATTTTTTATATAGAAAATTTCTGATGATATAAATTCTCCCACTAAAATTAGCTGGGGAGGATGTTAATAATTTTATCATGACTTATTACTCAAAAAGGTCATTATAGAATAGATGGCATATTATTTTTTTATACTCGATACAAATCAATATTAAACTTTTATCTATAATTATCTTATTTAATTTTTTATTTTTATTTTTTTAATATTATATATATATTATCCATTTAAATTAATAATTACTTTATGCGCAAGAAATTGATTACATAGACCATTTTTCCACTCGAATAATATTTTAAATTCTATATCGATATACATCGAATTAGGAAAATAATAATATACAATAGTGTAAAAGCAAGGTATTATGTCATAAAAAATAAAAATAAAAATGAAAAGTCGGTAAAATAAAAAAGAAAAAATAAATTTATTGCCGCCTTACATGCGCTTTTTTGATAAATTATATGAATAGGTTGTTAAAAGAATTGCATGTCGGTCGAGAAATCTTTTCAGATATGTTTTATTAAATTTAAATATTATCAAGTTTTTCTATTGCTGACTTGATGGAACAACTATTTGATGTAGAAGATATAGATGAAATCCCATACACATCAAAGTAGGCTGATTCACAAGGTGCAGAAGTTGGGGAATTTCCTTCTGAACAACAGATAGGAAATGTAGTAGGTTTTAAAGGAATTTGAACATTTTGAGATGAAGGCTGGTCTTGATTTGTAGATGGAGGAATAATAGTGTCAGAATTTTTATTAGGTGATGTTGCTTCTTTGTTTAAATCTTGGCATTCGTTAATGCATGTTACAGAATTCTCTTTCTTAGTGGACATGTTAGTTTAAACTTAGAGAGATAAAAACGATACGGTTACTTATTCGCATATTTATATAAGTTTCCACTTTGTACATGTGACACAGAATTTGTGTTCTCACTCTATTACCATTATAGATGAGCCAATTATTATTAGCATAGTCACAAATTGATAATTGGAGCATAAAACTTGTTCCAAATAATTCCAATTATGTTGAAGTTTATAGTAATGCCAACTAAATTAAACGGTTAAAAGAATTATATGGTTAAACGATTAAAGAAATTTTTAAACGTTTCCAACCCCTAATTGTACGTACATAATAGAAAGAAATTATTGAATGGCTTAATTATGTACCAAATCTTTTTTCTTGGTAATTTCTTCTGTTAAAGTACTGTAGTGCGGTCATCGGTCATATGCAGAAAATCATCTGATCAACAGATATACTAATGATCATCCGAATTACAGACACCACATTTCTCGGCACGTGCTTAAAAAAATAACCGAAACTTAACGTTAAAAATATAACCAAGTAAAAAAATCTCATTTGGCCTGGATTGATCAACATCGGCTTGAATTAAACTGATCTCAAAGTTAGAATCAGATTGTTAGGTTGGTTAAAAATTTATCAGTACCCCTCTAAACTGAAAATTACGATTCATTTTACTCAACTTGGCAATAGTGGGTGTTTTAACAAGGGAGTTTAATTCAATTAGACCGTCAGTTCAAGATACTAGTACCCTTTTTAAAATGTAAAAATGTACCCTTTTAATAGGGAACATTCATATAATATTTACTGTATATTAATATTTTGAATTAGTTTTTTTTTTTAATTTTTACCAGTATATAAATCATATATATCCTAGTAAAATTAGTGCTCGGGTTCGGATAATATGTTTATCTAAAGATAATTATCTGTTGAATAAACACATTATCCGATATCTAAATCTGTTCATAATTCTATTATCTGGAACCAATCCGTGCGGAACACAAATCTTAGGTTTGTAACTTACGAAATCATGTAATGCAAATGATTAAAATCTTTATAACGCAAGTTTTGGTCAATATTTTATGATGCAAGTGGTATCACAAAATATTTTTATACAATATTTATGTCAAGCTAGATTAAAATGAGATGAATTTTGAGGCTGCTACTGTTTCTGAATCTTCAAGACTTCTTTTCTTGTTGGACGTAGTAAAGATCAATAACAAAGTTTGCACCAGGAGGAATAGTGATTCCGGGGGATATATAGGTGTGTATCCGGCAGGAACTGGAATTGGTGGATTATAGAAAACTTCTATGACTGTAATGTTAACTATGAATACATTAATGCCTGATGCAGTGCATCCATTAGAAGGTATAGACTGAGTGGGAAGGATAATAGACCCCACTAAAATTGCATTTTAAGAAAAAGGTTTAAATAAGAAATAAAAGTGCCAATTTCAGATATTACAAATGATCTCACTTCTTGATATCCCGCTCCTTGGGTCCAGAATCTTGCAGTCATTGCTCTGTAATATTGCCCTTGGCCATTCCTTACACTTTTTGGTTTATGGAGCTTGATGTCAAATACGTATCGTACATAAGATTCTCGCAGCCACAATTGGCATTTATCAATCCAGAGTCGGGTGGACTGTAAGTTAGCAACCTCGACCACAATTTTGGCGTGCGAATTACCCTATATAAGAATTTGTTACTATACTTAAATTTCAGATATACCTGGTTTCGCTTATCGGTTTTTCTGGAAAATGAATACGGTCAAATTGGAATTTTTTTTTTTTTCAAGTTTCCCAAAGCAATCTTAGTTCTTGATCTCTCTCTAAAATTAGCGAGATATTAAGAAAACGCCATTATAAGAAAGCCATAGTCCAGCTAGAGTTTAAAATTCGATTTCTCAGTGTTCTCAGAGAAATTAATTAAATTCTAAAATAAAAATATGTTCTCAATTTGAGAAAATTCCAATAAATTTTTTAAAATGAAAAAGTTTAACTCTAATATACAGAGAATATTCAAAATTTTGTAAACTAAGGCTCAAAGGCAAAAATACCGTTACTGATGGATAGAAAAAACGTACCGTTCTTGATAGGAATCTAAAAAACTACATTACTATCGAGGTATAAAACCATGACGCAAAATTTGAAGCCCAATCCAATTGTAAGTTCAATTTTTAAGAAATAAGAATGGATTTTTAAATAACTTGCAATTATTTTTCGGTCATAAAGTTTATATTATAGCATAAAATTTAGATTTATCCTTACTTATTATCTTAAGGGCAAATTATCAGGTTTACATTGAGATCAACGTTATGGATCAATCAAGAGTCAAGACTTTGGCATCCTTATTATAACTAAGAATATTGAAAAATTAGCTTCGGGTTCTTTTAAGAGCCCCATGGAAAGATATGTAAATCGATTTTTCATCAGGAACGGTATTTTTGTAGCTCGAAGCTACGCTTTTTTGAAAACTTAAAATCAAATTCGAATTTTAAACACTGGATCTAGCTAATTCATCTGTTATCGCTTGAACGAGCCATTTCGCCTTCATTCGATAAATTCTCATTAGAATTTGAAGGAGATTGACGAGACATTTAAGATAAAGAGAAAGGCAGCATAAAAACCTGGCTACGGTCAAATTATGCATGTGGCTTTAAATCCAAAACACGTCATAAAAGATTTTTATATAGATTATAAGATTATTTCTTAGTATTTCCAAAAATTTTTATTTGGAATCATATGTTAAAAAAAAATGAAATACTGCTTTGAATCACTTTACCAGACCTATTATTTTCTACACATTATGTAGCTGATTAGATTTTTTTTTTTTTTTTTTTTTTTTTTTTTTTTAATAACCGAGTTCTGATTAGAGGTGGGGACATTTCTCAGGGTAGTCACTACTTACGGCATTACGGCTATGACGTAGATGACGTACTACCCTAAGGGTCATATTGACGTGACGTATGACGTTTGATATAGTGACATAAGTAGTGTAGTGTGACGTGACATATAACATTTGACGTAGTAACATAAGTAGTGTAGTGTGACGTTATAT